GCTGAAGCCGCCACCACGGGCGGGCGGCGTCACAGGCTCTGTGATAGTGGTAGGGGTGACAATGGTAACGTTGTCCCTCTTCGGCGCGACCTCAGCCAACGGGGCCTCGGTGATGGTCCACGGGATGGGGCACCCTGCGACCTGTACCGTATAAGTGGGTGGCGGACGATGAGCGCGCACTAAGGCAAACTGCGCCGAAGTGGCTGGGTCCCAGGCGGTGTGGTAGACCTCACAGTCCCATTTGACGGACGGGCCCGTGAGAGTCTTAGCAAGCTGGGTCAGCGTGGCATGGCGTGCCGCAATGCCCGTGATGCGGTATCGCGTCTTGGCGAGAGTGGCTTCACAGCCACGGATGCTGACGGCAGCGGCCTTGGCGGCTTCTGACCCACGTGCAACACGGATCCCCAATAAGCCTGACTTGCCGTGCCTGACGACTCCTAGGGCTTTGAAGTCCACCGACTTCTGGAACGCCTCTGCCATCGTGATGGGCTGGTCCTCGGGGAACCACAGAGAGAGATGGAGAGAAAGAGAGAGAGAGAGAGAGAGAGAGAGAGAGAGAGAGAGAGAGAGAGAGAGAGAAAAAAAGAGAGAGAGAGAGAGAGAGAGAGAGAGAGAGAGAAAAAAAAGAGAGTGAGAGAGAGCGAGAGAGGGAGAGAGAAAGAGAGAGAGATAATACACAAACCAAATAATACAGAACAGCGATATGGCAGCAACCGCAAGGTAGGCAGAAAGCCATTGAGGACAGCATCGAATATCGTCGGCGTAGGCTCGCATCCGCGGGGCGTGTCCCGTTAGCTTCGCTCTCGTCCATCTCGTGACAGGATCCAGGGCGCGCGCGAATAATAACCTCGAAACGCCCCCCTCGGCCGGGCCCCCCCCCTCGCAACCGGAAGCTCCATCGGCGACTCGCCGGGGAAGTCAATCGCCGCGGCGCTGCCCCTGCGCCGCCCATCGCAGAAGCAGGAAGCCGCGGGCTCAATCTGGGGCGCGCGTCGCTGAGATAACATCGGGGGGCCGCGCCGTTGCCGACGCGGGGAAGGCGGCCATGCGCTCAATGGAGATTTTCCCCGGGGGGGCCCAGCCAGTCGACAGCAGTCGGTACCCCCGCAATTCGATCGCGACGGCGTTGCCCAGCACCCCCCTGCCCAGGAACGCGCCCTTGCTGGGTCGGGTCGATCGTGTCCCGCAGATCCCTCGTCTTTCAATCGAGAATGCATCGCTCAAGATTTTCGCATCAGCGTTCGCCGGGGTCAGAGGTCGGGTCTTGCCGGGTGCGCGAGCCAGCCCCGCAGGTATCTCGTCTCTCTTCAAGTCTATGGGTAGGGGGCGCATTCGCACCTCCTAGTGCTCGCAGAAAGCGCCCCTCCGGAGGCATTGCGCATCTCAGAATGCACTTCGAACAGAATGTCAGCAGCTCCTCCCGCCTTTCAACGTCCGCGCGGAATCCCGCCTTCCCCAGGGGCTGAGCGGCGTTTGCGGCAATCCCCTCTTCAACGAAGAAATCAACGTCCAATCGTCGAGCAGCAGTCTCAATTTGAAGGGTCCGCACGCGCTCCGGGATCTCAGGCCTGAGAGAGCGATCAGGTTCCTGACGCGCGACAACTTGTTCCCAATGCGCTTTGAGGGCGGCGGCCCGCGCATCGGAAGACGGGCGCGCGCGCGCCCGTCGGGGCCCAGGATTCCAGCGAGCCCATGTCGCCTGCGCATCTTAGCCCGAGCTCTCCGCGATAGTTGGATCCGTGCCGTCCTCTTGCTCTTCGCTTTGTCCTCTTCGCCCGCCCGCCCAAGTCCCGCTCCTTCTTCTCGCGCCGAGTCTTCCAGCGCCTGCGCCGGCGCCCGAGCTGGCTACGCCCGAGCGACGTTCCCTGTCTGGTTCCAAGTGCCGAAGCAACTGGGGGCAGGCCCTCATGGCCATGGCGCGCGGCGAGGAGGTCCCAGGACGTCGTCCTCTATGCGCTATCAGAGCTAGGCGCAAACTCTCACAGCGGGACTTCGGGGGCCGAAGGCGCGCGCGAGACTTGGGCGTCGGTGCCATCTGGCTGTGGCAGAGCCCGCGGTGCAACTCATGCCGGGAAATTCGAGCGGGAACCTGGGGGGGCGAGGCGGCGGGGGTCCTGGTCGAGATGGCGGCGACGATGGGGGCGTGGTCAGATGGCGCCCAGGTTTGAACAGCATGCTTGGTGGCGTTGACTGTGGCAGAGATCATTCAGAACTGGGGCAGAGAGCGAGAGGCGCAGGTGCAATCGAGACGAGCTGAACCACGTACGGTGCCAATGAACATGCCCCTCCTTGTTGTTGCACCTCTGCCCGAGACCCGCATTCCGACGCGAAAGCATCTGTCTGTTGCCCATCCCCAGCTAACCACGTCCCATCCGTCCTAAACCAGCCCCCCCCAAACCCACGAACTTCCAGCCCCCTGCCGTGGCGCATATCGTCTGAGCAGCGGATGGAGGAATGGCCTGAATCAGTCCTAGGTGCCTGCGATACATCCCAACAAGGTCCGACGTGGTGAAAATTTAGAACCCTCTGATCCTCATCCCTTCACTTCAGGTGCGGTGCCAAAACCCGCCATGGGACGACAGCGTGCGACATGCAAAATTCAAACTGCGCCACCCGTCTAATTGGCAATGCCACGATTGCTCCCCAGCCATCAGACGTGCCAGCCATGGAGTCATGCACAGCAGCGTTTCGACATCGCTATCGCGCTCGAGCATCTCGCCGTCCGCGCACGTGCCATGCGCCTCCAATAAACGCGCTGCATCAAACTTGCCAACGGGCTGGAGCATCCGCGAATGCCGCGTGCCCGCGAGAGGTGAGGGCGCAGCGTGCGAAGAAGAAAGGGCGCGGGTATTCCATTTGCAGACAGAACGAAACAAGAGTTGCGAGGGAAACCCCGTTCGCTCCCGAGGCGGGGTCGCGCGGGGTGAACCCGCCTCCCAAATATTAATCAAAACTACGGTTGGCTGCCTGAGCCCCGCTCTGACTTGTTAGGGGCGCGCGAGCCCTAGGCCCCGCCCCAGACGCCCCCCCGCCCGCGGGGGGGCCAGGGTCCCCAGGAAAGCGAAAACAACGGGCCAGACGGGGTGTCCGAGGTCTCAAGGCAGGAAGCTCCAGGACAGCTCGGCAATTCACACAAAAGGGCGCAGATGGTCAAAGAGCGTCAGGATGCAGGCCGCCTAAGCCTGCTTACCAGAGTTACTCAGGCCGTCAGGATAAAGAGAGAAAATCGGGTACACCATTCTCGAAGAACGTGACCTTCGCCGCCGCAACTGGGTGCGCAGGGGTGAGACGCCCATAGATCTGCCCACCGAGACCGTTGCTCTCGACCGTGAGCTCCCCCAGACTTTGCCGATGAGACTCCTGGTCTGTCCGAGGTCGCAGACGAGTTTCCGACTGGCGGGGGGCGGATCGCGACGAACCCGAAGCTCCCAACCGACACCGTCGATGGGGTTCTGGTACAGCCTTTCAGGTGCTCTGGCCCTACCCGAAGAAAGCTGGACGCGCGAGGATGGGTGGGAAGTCGAGGATTACCTTTCTAGTCAGCGAATGTGCGCGCACGATCGGCTCTTCTCCCATGGGACTGCGCTGTGCAGTAATGGGTTGGACCGTATCCTTCAGCGAGGCCTCGAAGAGTGGCTTGTCACATTTAAGAACGATGAGACGAGTGGCTCTGGCCTGGTCTGGTCCTGAAGCCGTCCGATTTCTTACGACGACCCCCTCACCTTCTCCCACGACCTCGAACTCCGAATCGGCGCGGGTCGATGGGCCTGGCGATAGCGCAGCCTTAGGGCATTCAACTGCGCCTTGATATCCTCAGACACGGACGCGGGCTCAGCATCTGCGTCGATCACTACATGGTGGACCGCCTGGTCGTGAACACGCATGATCTCAGCGAAACGTTCCTCCTGATGCACTGCTAGCATCGCAATTTCATCCTGCCTGCGATCGAACTTAGTACCGAAGGGCGGGGGAGAGGAGGATGAGGAGGAGGAGGAGGAGGAGGGAGAGGAGGAGGAGGAGGAGGAGGAGGAGGAGGAGGAGGAGAGGAGGAGGGAGGAGGAGGAGGAGGAGAAGGAGGAAGAGGAGGAGGCGGAGAGGTAAGAGGAAGAGGAGAGGAGGAGGAGGATAGGAGGAGGAGGAGGAAGGAGGAGGAGGGGAGGAGGAGGAGGAGGGATCGGAGAGGAGGAGGAGGAGAAGGATGAAGAGGAGGAGGCGGAGGAGGAGGAAAAGAGAAAGAGGAGGAAGGAGGAGGAGGAGCGGAGAAGGAGGGGAGGAGGAGGATAAGGAGGAGGAGGAGGACAACGACGAGGAGGACGAGGAGGAGAAGGAGGAGGAGAAGGAGGAGGATGAGGGGAGTATGATGATGAGGATGAGAGGAGACGAGGAGGGAGAGGAGGGACAACGAGTTGGAGAAGGAGGCGAGGAGGAGGAGGAGAGGAGGAGGAGGAGGAGGAGGAGGAGAGAGGAACCAAGGACTTGGGGGAGGAGTGGGGGAGGGAAGAGGAACAGAGGATGGAACCGGGCGGGCAGGTTCGTTGCCTGCACCTGCTCCTCCCGCTCCCGCCGGGGCTTGGCCCTCGGGCTCGGGCCTGGTCCCCACGCCTCCGCCCCGTCGCCCAGCGTCCTCCCGCCTGCTCCCTCAGCTCCTCACAGCTTCCTCCGCTCCTCCCCACGCACCTCCTCCTCCTCCTCCTCCTCCTCCTCCTCTCCTCCCTCCTCCTCCTCCTCTCCTCCTCCTCCTCTCCTCCTCCTCCTCCCTCCTCATCCTCTCCTCCTCCACCTTTCTCCTGGGCCAGGGAGGACCTGGCCTTCACATGTTCCTCCCTCTGCGTCAGTTCCACCCTCCTCCTTCTCCTCCTCCTCCTCCTCCTCCTCCTCCTCCTCCTCCTCCTCCTCCTCCTCCTCCTCCTCCTCCTCCTCCTCCTCCTCCGCTCCGACGGCGGCGGCGGCGACTACCCGAGGGGGCGGGATCGTGGCCTGCACCTGCTCCTCCCTGTCCGTCAGCTCCCGCACCCTCCGCTCCAGCACCTCCTGCTGGGACTGCGCCTCCCTGGTGAGGCGGGCGGCCTCCTCGGAGCGGCGCTCCACCTCGCCCTGGGCCTCTTCCGGGAGGTGGGTGTGGGGGGGGGAAAGGGGGGCGGGCGGGGGGCGGAGCGCCGCGGATTGCCGCTACGGCCTCTGCCCCTCGTCATCCTAAGCATCGCCTCTCTGTCTCTCTCTCTCTCTCTCTGCATCGCCCTCCAGGGACTCCTCCTCCTGCTCTCTCTCTCTCTCCCTCTCTTTTTCCCTTCTCTCTCCCTCTCCGCCTGCTCCTCCTCCTCCTCCTTCTCCTCCACCTCCTCCTCCTCCTCCACCTCCTCCTCCTCCTTCTCCTCTACCTTGTCCTCCTCCTCCTCCTCCTCCTCCTTCTCCTCCTTGTCTTGCCATTGCGCCGACGCTGGCCGTATCCCATCGTTTCCGACCGTGTCTGCTCTCACCTCGCTCCTCCTGCTGCTGGGGCTACTCCTCGCCCTCCTCTTGGTGCGGCGGGCCCTCGACGCGCCGCGGGCGTGTCGCGCTGGCGGCCCACGGGATGGGCGCCGGGGAGGCGTGGGCAGCACATGAGAGGACCCCAGACGTGCTCGCGTCGTGAAAAAAAGTCAGGACGGCCAACTTTTCGTTATTTTCGGCCCCGAGGGGCCCTCGCTGGGCCCCCGGGAACGTCAAACAACGACTCAGAATGAAAAACCGCCTCCGGGGAACGGGTCTGGACTTCAGGGGGCGCCGTCCTGAAAAAAACAGGGACGTCGCCTGTCTGGGACTACACGCTCGGGCGTGGGCGTGGGATCTCCCCGGCAAGGGGCTCCAGCCGCGCACTGGCGAGGCAAAAGGCGACAAACGTTGAGGTGCGCCGCGGTGCACTCTCTGCGCGAGCCGGCGTGCGAAGGCTGGCCGAACACCCCCCTTTCCGTCAGCGCACGCGCTGGCAAAACCGCGCCCACGCACAGGGCGGTCGACGCAGAGACGCGCGGCGGGTTCTCGCGCGCGCGCGGGCGCTCGGGTGGGCACTCCACATTCTGCAAGGCCACTGCCCACTGCGGCGGGACTGCGCGGCCTGGCGGCGGAAGCGGAGGAGGCGCGCGAGCCTGGCCAGGCGACCGGTCGCCGCCATGTGGCCAGGGAGCGATGCCCCCGCCAGTGGAGGGGCTCCTCCCGACCGATATCTTTGAACATATGCTGACGGGCCACAGCGCGGTGCCGAGGCGCAACGCGGCGGAGTTTCAGCTGCAAGTGAGCTTCCCCCCTGAACAGCTCCCCGAAGAAAGATGGACGGGCCTCTGACACCAGCAAGACACAGCCAGGTCCACCACAGAAGCCCGGTGGAGCTGCCTAGGGACTACGAGGATGGAAAGGGGCGCCTCGAACAGGGGGGCTGGCTGAGAGGGAGCATCGGCGCGGTGCCGATGGTACATCACCGACAAATCGGCGATAGGCCTCCGATATTGAAGCCGCGCGCTCTAGGGCAGAGCATGACACCCAAGCCCCGATCGGCGATTAGGGATTGACGTTCCCCCCGTGGTCCAATCCCCACCTCCCTGCGCCCCTGTGATGAGCTGGCCCCCCACCGAGATCTGTGTCGAGTGCCCCGCGCCATCACCCTGCGGGGATGGGCTGCCCCCCGCCCCGAACTAACAAAAGTGGGCGTCGGTGCCGAGTCCGTGCAACTGCTCCACGTGCAACGCGAGCAGCGGGAACACGAGGCGACGGTGCAGAGCGGAGAGGCTAGTGCACCGCGTGCTCCAGTGAGTTCAAAAGAGAGGGGGAGGGGGGAAGGGAGGTAGACCGCACCTCTCTCCCAGGAAGCGCGCTCCTTGGCCTTCGCGCTCAACGCTCGGGGCCGAGCACTGGCGCCTGGGATACAACCTCTGTCCAGCCTGCGAGGAGGAGGAATATGAGTGAGGCGGAGGAGGGGGAGGAGGAGGGGGAGGAGGAGGAGGAGGAGGAGGAGGAGGAGGAGGAGGAGGAGGAGGAGGAGGAGGAGGGGGAAGAGGGGGAGGAGGAGGGGGAGGAGGGGGAGGAGGGGGAGGAGGAAGGGGAGGATGAGGGGGAGGGGAGAGGAGGAGGATGGGGGAGGAGGCCACGGGCTGCCTCGTCAAGTTTGCATCGGAAAAGAGGGGAGCGCAGCCACCGTTTCGCGGCTGCGCGAAGGTAATTTTCAACTTGGAACACCTCGCGAACCGACGTGCAAAATGCAAGCCAGAAAGTCGGAAGCCGCTGCTTCGCCAGGAAAACCCACCTGCCCTCTGGGCGGTTGGCGGCTCAGAAACTGGTGGAGAGGTCGGCCCATTCCCCTGCCCCCTCGCCATGGTCCCAACTTCGGTCCCCCGCTGGGAATAAAGACGCTCTTTTCTGTTTCTAAGGCAGAAGGTCTGCAAGTGCATTCGCCGCACGCACGCACGCACACCTCCCCCCCCTTAAAAACGGTTCCAACAAGGCGATGTATTCTAGCATCCCTCCTCGCTTGCTCCCCAAGGGCTCCCAACACGGACTCAGGAGGAAACCCCATGAGGCCTCAAAGAGGCACCCAAGGGTCCTGTAGGGATGGACGATGAGGTTGCGGAGGGATAGTCTATGGCTGAGAAGGAGGGGAGGAGGCGGAGGAGGAGGACGAGAAGGATGATGAGAATGAGGGGGTGGGGTGAGGGAAGATGAAGCTGATGAGGACGACGATGGTGATGATGGCGATGCTGGGACTGCAATTATGAGGATGGTTATGGCGAAGAGGACGATACTGCATATTATGAAGATGCTGATGCTGATGCTGATGATGCTGCTGATGACGACGGCGACGGCGATGATGATGACACTGGATATATTACTAGAACCACGCGCGCGCTTCGCGCGCGCTTAGGTTCTGTCGAGTCACAGACCCAGGAATCGTTGCGAGAAGAAATTGGTGACGCGAAGCGTCTTGGGGGCGTCCTTGGACGTCTGGGGTCTCCTGGGGCCTCTTGAGGGGCCTCCTGGGGGCCTCCTGGCGGCCTCTTGGGGCGGAAGGCTCGAGCTTGCGGTTCGTGGTCCCCCTCTGGGCCCCCTCTTGGGCCCGTCTTGGGGCCCTCTTGGGCCATCTTGGGCGCCTCTTGGGCCGTCTTGGGGCCCTCTTGGGCTGTCCTGGGGCCCTCTTGGAAGCTTCTTGGGCCGTCTTGGGGCGGTCTTGGGCGCCTCTTGGGCCGTCCTGTAACGTCGGAAAACCCAAACAACTTTGTTGAAAATGTACGTTTTACGAAGGGAATGGGCCAATTTTTGCGTCTAGGGGCCCTCTTGGGACGCATGTTGGAGGCTTTTTGGGGCCTCTTGGGGGCGTCCTTGGACGTCTGGGGTCTCCTGGGGCCTCTTGAGGGGCCTCCTGGGGGCCTCCTGGCGGCCTCTTGGGGCGGAAGGCTCGAGCTTGCGGTTCGTGGTCCCCCTCTGGGCCCCCTCTTGGGCCCGTCTTGGGGCCCTCTTGGGCCATCTTGGGCGCCTCTTGGGCCGTCTTGGGGCCCTCAAGAGGGCCATCTTGGGCGCCTCTTGGGCCGTCTTGGGGCCCTCTTGGGCTGTCCTGGGGCCCTCTGGGAAGCTTCTTGGGCCGTCTTGGGGCGGTCTTGGGCGCCTCTTGGGCCGTCCTGTAACGTCGGAAAGCCCAAAAGACAACTTTGTTGAAAATGTACGTTTTACGAAGGGAATGGGCCAATTTTTGCGTCTAGGGGCCCTCTTGGGACGCATGTTGGAGGCTTCTTGGGGCCTCTTGGGGGCGTCCTTGGACGTCTGGAGGCCATCTTCAGCATCTCGGAGCCCTCTTGGAGGCCTCTTGGAAGTTTCTTGGGCCGTCTTGGGCGCTTCTTGGGCCGTCTTGTCTGACTGGGGAGGCCTCCGGCAAGCCCCGACAAGCCTCCGGGCCCCCCGGGGTGCACATTTGCGGTCGAGGTCCCGGCCCCGGGCCCCCGGACCCGGTGCGCCGTTATATGTATAATCATTCTCGTGATGATGTTGTTGATGCTGATGATGCTGCTGATGATGCTGCTGGTGCTGATGCTGCTGGTGCTGATGACGCTGATGATGATGATGATGGTGGTGGTGGTGATGATGATGACGGTTTTGGTGGTGGTGGTGATGATGGTGGTGAAGGAGCGGACCGTAGAGGGAAGAGTCCAGATCCCTCCTACGGCTCGCCCGACGACGCGGGCGGCAGCGGGGCGGCGGGCGCGCCTGGGTCGGCGCCATGATGCGCCGCGGTGGCGCGGGCAAGCTCTCTGCCGAGGGGGGCAGCAGCAGGAGGTTCGAACGCAGGGAGGCGGGAAGAGATGGACAGGCAAGGCGGGTGAGAGGCCAGACAATTTGCGTCGAAAAGACGCCGGCCACTGGCTCCAGACACGGGCGGGTGGTGGACCCCTTCTCCCGAGATCTCCAGGCCACACGCGTTGCGGACCCCAAACAGGCCGCCAAGCGGCGCAGGAAAGGGAGCGGCGGGAGCACGGACGAGAGGCGTGCAAACACTGCTAGGGTGGGGAGAGACCGCCAGACACCCAGCAGGCCCGATGGGTCCCAGCACAGAGTCGGACAGTGTGAGCACACAGGTGGCCTCATGAACACTCAGAGGGCGCGGATCCGAGGGGGTTTCAAGCGGGGTGTCATGCGCATCATCGATGGCGAAGGCCTGCATCTGATAATAGACTGGTCCCGAGCTCGAGAAGGTGGCGGGCGCAGCCGAGGGCAGGGCCGACGAGGTCGCGGTAGCACAGTGGGTCGGTGATGGCCGCGCCCGCGGGCACGGTGCCAATTCCCGTGGAGTCGTCGACCAGATCCAACCACGCCTCGACCATCTGGCAGCCCTGGACGGCGCGGGAGGCGCGACATCCTCCTCACAATTTGTATGAGCCTGCTGCGCTGGGTTCGAGGAGCACCCGTGCGCAGGAATTTGCGTTCTCACTCCTCCCACCATCGAAGGGTCCACTGGCAGAGACCCGCATGCCACTTCAGGCATATCCCCGCAACTTACTCCAGACGCCTGCGTCGACGGGCTCGAGGAGCACCCGCCGTCAGGACTTTGCGTTCTGACCTCGCCACTTTCGGAGCGTGCCAGG